CAAAGTAGCAAAATTTTTGTTATATATTTGCAGGACTAGTATTAATTAAAGGATTGGGTTGTTATTTGTTAAATAAATTTATTGTTTAAAACCTCAACCTGGCGACATCCTCCTTTTATTGTATAGGTACGTTGTTGGCGGTATATTGAATACACCACAGACGCACCGAAGTAGGTTAGGTTCTGTGCTTACGTAATGTAAGGGGCTTAAATCCCTACTTGTACTTTACAATAAAATAAATAATTGGGGGTGAGACATTCCTTTGAGTCGTTATTTCTTTTAATTGAGCATACTGTATGGAAGGTTTCCTTTCTGTATGAATGCATTTTTTAAGTGTTTGGGTGTGTGGGTTTGTCGCGGTATTTAGAATATATCACAGACCAACCAAAGTAGGTTAGTTGTTACATGTTTATAGGGTGATTTGGGATGAGACACTGTCGTAATATCGAATACCCAAGCTTGAAAGGTTATGTTTTGTATTTATTAGCGCGAATGAGTGAACTCAGTAGAATATCGAGTAGATATCCTAACTACCAGCATACATACAATTAGGTATATGAATGTGTATGTTAGAAAAAAAACCGGCCGTTAAAACAAAATTGGTACATGTCTTTTTGTCGCAATTAGATTAAGATAAAAGAAATGTGTCACGGGCAACCAACCCCAGGGTCGTTTTATACACGTAACAAACTCTCCAAAACAAAGGATCAATTTGGGTTGGATATAAATTTGGACAAATTTCTGCAAAAAAAAATCATTTGGTTAAATTGGAAATAAATTCTACAAACTGCTTCATGAGAACGGAGAGTTATTGCCTATTGTACCCGACAAAAATTGCTAAATTTGGACTGAGCAATCCACTCTTTTCATCATCAGTTTCTCTTGTAAATTAACAACAGTATACTGTTATATGTAAAATTGCATTGAAAGAATATTAACATAGTAAATATATTAATCCATATATGTATTTAGTAGTGATAATTGACCTATTAATGATTTAATTATACTTTTTATCTAACGTCTTGGTTGAGATAAAAAAGGCTACAAGAGCGGGATAGAAGTCACTATAGTTCAAGTGGTCAGAGCAGCGGCATATTTAGCTAAAGATCGTGGGGTCGAATCCCGCTCGTGACACTGGCTTTTTGTCTCAACCAAGACCTAAGATAGAAAGTATAATTCATTTAAATATACAATATACTTAGAATTTATTATAGTTGATTTGTTATATTTTTAACGTTTACACTTCAATTTTTTGTAGTGGTCTTTTTTTAAAGTTCATTTTTCATCAAACTGAATGTACGGGTCACATAAGGAGATCCGGCGGGCACCCGGCATATCAGCGCCCTGAAACCGGATAAATCGGAAGCTGAGACCCCGGGGGATTAAGCAGACCTACCATCGGTTCTCTCCAACCTTTCAATCTATTTTGAGTAGCATAGTGTTATTTTTCCCTTTCCTTTATTCTTTCTTTTTATTTGTTACAAAAGGGGGGAGAAATTACATTTTTTAAGTAAAAATTATACCGTTAGCGTAGTTTTTAAAATAATTTATTTTATTTATTGCTATCAGTACAAAATATACACTGAGCAAATACTTTAGTTACATACTAATCTGACAGTTCTGTCAGACCAGGAGGCAGTGAGGAGAGAAACCCACCAGTTTTGGAACTCTCTTTTATTTAATTGGGTGGGTTAAGACAGAAGGTCACGAGGCCATTGTCGTTTTAAACGGCGTAGAGGATGAAAGGGTGAGACGTTGAGGAAATAGTTAGAGCTAGTGAGTTAGGGTGGAAGGATAGATCAGAGAAGAAATTGAATTAAAAGATTTTTATGGATGGTTTGATGGGCAACAGAAGGGAACATTGAGCAATTCGTCGGAGAACTTCAGATTGAAAAGATTGAATTAGTTGAATATTGGATGATTTGCCCGAGCCCCACAGTTCGACTCCGTAGGTCCAAATAGGTATTACGTGTTTTTTTGTAAACGGTTAGTTACTAATTTATGCATAGTGTTGACTTTGGTCCAAGGTGTTTGCGTAGACTATCTTTTTTAAGTTCTTGCCGTTTTAATCTTGAATGTGGGTTCCATGTAAATAAAGCCCAAGGTAGCAGGCTTGGTTCGATGGTGGTACTTGTTGTTAATGTGCACTGGTGACGTTTGCGCGTAAACACAACTTGTTAGCTGTTTTGTTCATTTAACCTGATCCGCCATATATTGCAACAATCGGTAATAAGGTTTGGATGTTGTTGGTTTGCTTATGTCGCTTGATAGGATTGGAGTGTGTTGGTAAGATTGCGGTGTCGTCGCGTAGGTTGTGAGCTGTGTATCTGGATATGTGGATATATCAGCAGTGTGGATGGTGTAGAGGACTGGGCTTAGGATACTTCCTTGTTGAATGCCAGCTTTTATTGGTCTGATGTGTGAAAAATCGGTGCTGGTTCTCACTTTAAACCATCGATACGAGAGGAAAGATTTCGGGATAAATAATATAGGCATGAGGGAGGATATGGTTTAACTTATAAAGGATGCCGGGGTACCATACTCGGTAAATGCTTCCGTAACGCCCAGAAATACGTTGACACGCAACGTAATACATACCACACAGCGTACTGGACTCGGTAACCGGCTCAAGGTACACGCGTGGCCTTCAAGTGTTTAACTCCGACCCAAGTAGTACAAATATTTTTTGTCTCCCTCTATAATTTTAATAATTGGACTATCCATAAAAAACAATATATTTAATGGTAATTATTGTTCAGATTAACTGTTAAAGTTAACCGTTACCCCTTAAATTTCAAAGGTGAATATTGTCTACAATAAAAATTCAAACAAGGTTAAACGTCATAATGGTTAAAATTTACAATCGTCCTTCTTCTTATCTTATGACCACAGTTTGAATTGAAAAAATACATCCTATAGATGTGACTGTTTAAAGTTGCTTTATTATAAGACAAATTATTAATTAGGTCGGAAAAATAAAAACTTACATAAGGCAAAGCTTTCTTTTTCCTTTCTTGTAAGTATTCCTTTTTTGCTTGATTTACTTATTTTCTTGGTTTTCATTATTATCCTTGTTTTACTTTATCAACTCTTGTTCGATTCTGTTTATTTTTGTCGCCCCATTTTTTTAAAGAGAACGACTGTCGCCCAATATTTCATTTTTGTATATATGTATATATATTCATACTTTTATTTATTTCCCCTCCTCGTCTCCACCGAGTAGCTGGCAGCACAGGTATACCCTGGACGAATTTGGGGGCGTAACACATTGTTTTAAAAATAAATGAATCATGCTTTGATTTTTTTTAATGTTATGTATTATTAAATCCATTATATTTAGTGGTCTATTGACCAAATTACTTCTTGCAATTAGTTAATCTTTTTATGTAAGGTTTTGGTCGAAAAGAAAAAGCTAGTGTCACGTGCGGGATTCGAACCCACGACCTTCGGCTCAATACGCCGCTTCTGTATCACTTGAGCTATCGTGACTTATTTATTGTATTCCTAGGACAAGACACATTTTTACAATTAATTAAGGTTTTTAGTCGAGATAAAAAAGTCAATGGCACGAGCGGGATTCGAACCCACGATCTTCGGCTAGATACGCCGCTGCTCTACCACTTGTCGTGGTAGGGTTGAGATGGGAAGTTGGTGTCCGAGTGGATCGAGGTCACAATAGCTCAAGTGGTAGAGCAGCGGCATATCTAGCCGAAGATCGTGGGTTCGAATCCCGCTCGTACCTGATTTTTTTATCTCAACTAAAAACCTTAATTAATTGTGATATATTAATTGGTCAAGCGGACCACGAAATCAGTGAATTTAACACATTTTTACCTTCGTCATCATGGTACAAAAATTTAAATTGTCTAAATATCCTATTGTAGCAACGTTTAATTTTTTTAGAAATAACAACTCTTAACTCCCTTTTTACCTGGAAAACCGAAATGTTGATTTTTCCTAATAAATGACTATTATTTAAAGTCTTTTTTTGGTGATGTAAGTTGTATAATTGAATATTTTTGGAGAAAAGATATTAAAAATGATAATTTTAATAATATAACTTCCTATAGAATACAATACAGTTAGTGATGATTATTGTTTAGACGAACTGACAAAGTGAACCATTTCTCCCTTAAATGTGAAAGGTGAATTTTGTCAAAAGTAAAAATTCACACAAGGTTAAACGTTACAATAGATAAAATTTACAATCGTGATTTTTTGTTATAAGAGTTTAAATTACAACAGATACGCCCTTTAGATGTGTCTGTTTCATTTAACCACCTTTTTTTCACCTTATGACTTTGCATATTAGCTAAGGAACTCGATGAGACACATGCTATTTTTTTTTCTCTTTTAAGAGCCACGATGGGAATCGAACCCACAACCCCGGTGTCTACAGACTAAGGCATTAAGGCACTACTTACACGGGATACTAAAATTTGGAACGACTGGGATACTCGTAAATTAAAAGACGCGTGTATAAGTAGGTACCGCCACTCAGCCGGATATATTACAGTAATGGAGACTTGACAACGGCACTACTCGGAGACTACAAGACCGACATGCTGGTCTCCTAGTAGCTTAGGTGTTACTACACCGTAGTACGATGAGTGAAGCGTTTAATTTGAAGTTTGTGGGTGAAGTGGAGAAATGTTCAATGTTACATAATGTTTTCAGTACGTGTCCTTTCTCATTCTGTAGAATGCAAGGAATTTTGAATCTGATTACTGCAATGTTTTGCAGCAACAAATAGTCTACAATTTATGTTTCGTTCTATATACGGGTGTAACCAAAATCTTCTCACTGTCCTCTTTCTGCGGCAGTGATAATAATACTGGATAATAATATCATCATCACTATTAGAATACTGATGGAAACTAGCAACTTCAGTAGTGGTCGTGTGAGCGTAACGGACGACCAGAGTCTCGAGCCTCCAAGTCTCTGAATCTCAGATTCCGAGTATCCTAGATTTGAGTACCCCCGTGTGAGTAGAGCCTAAGAGCCGAGAGTATATCATGCTAACGAATCGGTTACCGCAGACCCCCACCTCCTTTACTATTTGCGAGATAAGGTCCTATTATAAAGTTGTCCGTACTTTTTGACCTCTGATTTGCCATTATGCCTGTCAACAGCTATGACTCCACCGCGGAGGAAAAGATGATCGGCGAGGCCAACAAGGGACAATCGCCTCTCACCAACGACACCACCTGCGGGGTCGGCTGCTTCAAAGGGAAGCTTCTGCAGAGGTTCGCAAACAAAAAAGCCTATGTCTTCCTCTACGGCCTCCTCGGCTGCGTACTCTCCGCAGCATACTCTTACTTCAACGGGACAATAACGACACTGGAAAAACGGTTTAGGATACCGACAAAAACGACAGGTACAATTATAAATTCCATTGTCCACATCATAACAGGATAAAAGGTTTTAAAAGTAAATGGAAAATTTGTAAAATCCTATGAAAATATATAAGCATTTGATTGATGAAAACCATTTTACTTTTTTTTAAACGTAAGAATTAAATTGCTCAGTAATTTAATATTTTAGTTTATAGTTAGTTAATAGTTATCAGTATTCAAAGTGATGAACAAACCACATAGCAAAAATCTAAATACACATTATATCGTTATTAGTTTGAAAAACCTTCAATTTAAGTTATTTTTCAAAATTGCAATTTTGAAAGTGTAAAATTTGTAACAAGCTATTCAGGTATTCAAGGTGTTCAAGCTCAAATAAATAAATCGCCTTTGGGTCTGGCCATCCGCTATTAAAAAGCTAAGTTGCTAAGTACTTTCTCTCTTTTTTTTTTAAATTTAATGAATTTGTTTAGATTTTCTGAACGATTGTCTAAGAGTGTAACTGTCCGGAATGGCAGAAGGAGATAAACCAAACAATATAACTTGAGAAGTCCATGACCTGTCAGCCTGTAATAGATATTTTTATTTCTTTGTCTCTAAGTTTTGACTAGTATTTTCATCAAAAGACCTACAATAATAATTAATATTATTCTTATGTCTTTTACAACTACTTTTGGTCACAGATTATACTGTACTAGATCTGAGCTGACTCTTACCGGAAAGAAACTATTTTCCTATAAAGATTTATTCTTAGAAAAGTGAGGTATTATTATAAATAATAAATTATTAAAATTTTATGGGAGTTTGGTTTTTTGTTTTGCTCGGATTTATTAATTTTACAGCATAGGGTTTGCTAATCCACTGTGAGCGAGACGCTCTGGATTTCTATTATTGAAAATACCATCCCTGATCAGTAATATTGTTTGTAAAGGCTAGTGCATATTCGTGGGCAAAATCGCGCAACCCGTTTCTACAGGCAAAGTTTTGCGATTGTCAGACAAATTGGGAACAAATTATTTGTTCTGCAACTACCTGTGTACAAAAATGGCAAGTCTATGGACCCCCAGCTCGGATGGAAAACGAAACACATTGATCAACATTTCGTTATTGCTAATCTCACAGAAGCTGGAATGGCTCCTCTGAATCTTGTTTCTTTCTTGCATACTTACTTTATTTTCAACCATAAGTAGCAAATTTACAAAAACCGTGGTAGTTAGCTGGGTGAAATTTCTGAAACCTGAACTTTCTTCTAATTTTAATTTTTACAGAACAATCCAAATGTAGAGTTGTCTGCTAAAACATTCCTTGATCACCATAGTTTACGATTAATTTTCTAATTAATTAATTAAATTTAAAATTTTCCTTTTTAGATCAAAAATTAAAATTGCACAAGCAGCCAAGCAGCAGGCCGTCGTCATGTTATCACGAGTACTAAACTGCGCAAAAATGAATAGGGATATTTTTAAGTTTACTCTTATTCTATTAATTTTAACTCAGTTAACCGATATACTCTTATAAGTTGGATAAAACAAAATAAACTATACAAACAAAAACAAAAAAATTGTTAATCCTCATTTTTAATAACGGATTTACTTAAGAACAGTATACATGAAGATTACTCATTTTCTACACACCTTTTCTTGTTTTTTCTCCCTTTTTATCCAATTGTATTCTCATTAACCATGGAAGGACATCATATTGAACCAGAAGTTCGCCATATTATTGTGAGAATGAGTCGTCGAGGTCACGGGCAAGTGGATATCGCACAGGCAGTTAGCGATTCTCAGAGATGGTACTCCGGGCAATAGCCAGACCGAGAAACTGGAAGTACCATTGGGAGGCCTGGTAGTGGATCCCAGAGCATTATGACGCTTAGGGAGAAAAGAAATACTATCACTGCTGCAAGAAAGAACCCTTTCCATACTGCCAGCAATATCCTAAATGAAGTACAAGATGTTTTAGCAAGGCGTTTATCCAACACAAACAAACAATTCGTTTATAACAGTATCTGATTGTTGATTTCAAATCCGCAGATGTTTCTGCATACATGTGCAGAGTTGAGCCTATCACTCTCGCAGTGCACCAGTAATTTCAGTTTGTAATTTACATTAAATTACCGGCAGGACTCCTGAATCACCCACCGTGGTTGGGCTCGGGGCACTGCAAACAGGTCATATGTCATTTCAGCCCAATCACTTCCTAAAAAAACACCACACTCTCACTAAATGAGTATCTATTGATTTATATGTGTACGTTTTAGTATGAAAGCTGTATAACCCGGGCTTTGCCCAGGGGGATAATGTAAAGTTTTATTTTAAACATTATTTTGAATGTACATATTGCAATATTTCATAATACAGCCAAATCATTGCATTTAATACTGAACAATGAGAAACTTACAAAACATTAGAAAACTGATCATATGGAACATCACAACCTCACATTTTATAAAATTCCGTGTGTTAATAAATACAATTGGCAAAACAATAGCACTACGTATCACATTTAATTTAAACTGACCGAGTTTAAAAAGATAGTTCCTACTCACAGTAAGTTGTTTTGCGACAATCCGGTTTTCGAGCCCTTTAGCTCATCATCAGTTGAAGGGCTCCTACAAACACGTCTCTCGACATGAATTGCAGATGTGAGCCCCTTATGTCAAATAAATAATAATTTACGTAATTCATAATTGTTTATGTATACATACCTGTAAAAAAATCGGTTTTTGTAGTATTTATCTTTGTACACTAAATGAACGCTGGAAGTACTTTTCTCAATTCTGATGGTTTACGAACATTCTGGATCAAGGTATGGTGTTGAAGAAGAAAGCAAACTTAGTTGCTACTGCCAAGATTTCGACCTTTTATAAGGTCATCATCAGGGCAAAATAACCTTAAATTTTCTACAGATTCACAGTTTTTTACAGGCGATCTCAAATTTCCTTGAATTCCTTTTGATTCAGTCCTTACATTGTTAAATAATTGGCTGAGTGGAACGGTCGTCGGTCAGACCAGATGCCGGTAGTTTGTTCTCCTGTCTACTTCACTGCTGCCTATAGTAAAGATACAACGTGAAATTTGTGTTATAATGTATCAATAGGTTTGCAACTAAAAACGATGCAGTAATTTTTGCGACTATAGAGTGTTAGGACAGTTTTTGTATTGACTGTTAGCGCCTCCATATCGGTATTTGAAAGACGCGGGAAACGTTCTCATTAGAGAAAACATATGTGAAAACGGACAATAGAAAATGGACCACAAATTCTTGAAAACTCTCTTTTTGTAAACCCTGACGGCTTTTTCAATTCAATTTCCTTAGGGCTAAGTTTCTATTTAAATTTTTCTTTTTTCAAATACTATTTTTTCATTTTTAAGGTCGAATTTTTTTTAAATCTCTGTCCAACACTTTTTGCTTTAAGTAGGCAGTTTTATTTTCTTGGACCTACAATATAAAAATAATGTTATTATTGGTTTCATAAACGATTATTTGAAGATAGTGAGATGAGGTCTAGTGAGAAGTAGGTTAGAAAAACAGTTTCTTTATCTTGCTAATGTTTCGATCTTTATTGAGGTCATCTTCAGGGCCTGGGATTTATAAACATTGTTTCAATTATGGAAATTCGTATAAGATATTAATATGAATTTATACAATGTTGTACAAAAATAGAAATTTTAGGTTTAATCAAAGTATTTGAACTCACGCACGTACTCCACACCAGACCGCTTCTCACGATCTTAAAATAATCATTAACATCTAACACTGGACCTATTATATCAAGCAATGTTATCTAGCCGATTCTAACAAATCATTTTTCTCGATCTAACACGACTTAACAGAGTTAAAAAGGTTAACATACAGATCGAGAATACCCCTATTATCGAAATCTACTGTTAGGTCAAATTTTCCAATTATACTTACATGATTTATTATTTTTTAATGGTTAGGGAAAACCTTCATAAATCAGTGCAGTTTATTAAGCACTGACGACGAATATGTCGATTTTGACATTTGTAATATCAAAAGATACATAATTGTTCCTGTTTAGCTAGGGAGATATTGCCAAATTATTATTGTTTTATGATTAACTTTTTTTGTCAAAATGTTGATGATAAATTAAGAATAGGAAAAGGCATAGAGTAGACTCAGATTTAAGTTTCAAAACTCCTGGGGATCCTCTTAACTATTTTCAGAAATATTTTCCCGTTAAACACAATTGAGCAATTAACCATCATGGTTTCATTACTGATTCGTAAGCAACTTTAATATTCAAGTAAATATATCTAGTGGAGCTCCTTTAAAAGAAATTCAATTATATACCACATTACGAATTTCAACCAAATTTTGCGGCTAAAACAATTTAGCCATTAATTATAAATATAAAGCCAATATAAACAAAATATAAATATAAACAAAAAGCCATTAATATAAAAAACCATTTAGCAATTAATCACCAACAATTTTGCTGTTCATTAATGAAGCTTAATAGCCAAGAGAACATATCTATTGGATTGTACACTATCGATTTTGAATTGATGATAGATCAAGGCTTAAATAATCAATGATCGTGCCAAGTTTGATTCCATTAATTTGATAAATACGAAGATTTTAAGATGTTTTGGAGATATCCTCCTGCCTGACCCTTCTAGAGCCTTTTTTTTTTAATTCTAATTCAAATATACTTGGAGATGTTCATTGGCTTTGCCGTTGGAATGATCCATTATAGCAACTATAGCTCTAAATTGAGTAGTGTTGCAGTCAAAGAGAGTTTGGCCATTTTAGTAGAGAAACAGCAAATTTACAGTATTTGACCATCATAAATTCATAATAGCCAGCTCTGACTCATTATGAGGTAATAGTTATCAAGCTTCATCATCACGTAACAATCAAATATTAAAGTTGGGGGTGGTGCGTTTCACTCATACACGTTTTCGGCTTCTCGTCATTTTCACTGATGAACTCGGAATGACACTTCACACATTTTGAACTACTCTGATCAATTCCCTGGGTTCGTCTTATTTCCGAGTCCTTTGCGGAAGATGTTGATAACGAAACGCCTTGAGTGAAAAATAAACAGCGAGACTAGACGGACCCAATTTAGTGATCAGTGTTATAGTTCAACTAGAAAAGTCGTTTTTCAATATTAGAATTCCCAAGATTGTTTCTAGGCCCTAACACTTAGCCAAGCCAAGGTTTAGATTCAATTTGATGCTAATATGATTCCATGAAGACTTTTGTGTTTCATGTATGTGCTTCAACCCCAAGACCGAGCTGACGGTAAACCTAGGCAAGTATGCTACCGTTTTCTAGTCTGAAATCATAGCGATCAAACAATGTGCCAGAAAAATAAGCCTCATGCGAGGCGAAGGCAAAGAGTGTTTGAAAATGCATGGAGGCCCTGACGGAAGTCCGCGACACTAATGACCTGACCCTGGCATGGGTCCCTGGACATTCGGGGCATAGAGGCAACGAAAAGGTCGACATGCTGGCCGAAAAGGGGAGCGAAATGGATTCTATGGGCCCAAAACCCTACTGCGGCCTAGCAGCCTGCCACAAAAGAGAATACATCTTCAAATGGATCCTTAATGTGGCCAAAACCTGCTGGAACAATACCACAGGTATGAGGCACGCGAAGAGATTAATACAAGGACCATCCGCAAAACTTACAAAAGAACTGCTGGAAGGCAACCGCAACCGAACCAGGATTCTGGCAGGATTCCTGTCGGGACACTGCCACTTAAGAAAGCACATGCATCGGATAGGAGTATAGACAGAAGAAACACTGTCCGTCCAGATACTGCCAAGATGAGGAGAAGACCGCAGAACACATTTTATATTTCTGTCAAGGTCTATGTAGGTGCAGGTTCTTGCAACTAGGACAAGAAAAACCACAAGCAAGATCCTACACCAAGGAACCGCTGGCAAAGCTGTGGCGGCTAGTTAATAGCCTGATGCTGGCGGAGTACAATAGATCTATTTAGGTCGAGGTGCAGTAGGCCTTGTGGCCGCCTCTCTTATCCCTGTCCCTACCCCCATGCGCTTCAAACTATAGATTTAATAATTGTGAATAGATGTCCATCATTTTGACCTTTTAAATTATTCATAATCCTGATGAAAGGGGTGGTTGGGAATGGTTAGGGAGTTTTCGTCGAAAGCTCTATGAATTTGTTTCTAATAGGCACCATCCCTGGTCGTTTTAGTACATATACAAGATTCCATTTCAGTTTCCCTTGGAAAAAAAATTCACTGTTCAACCGTACAATATATGACTGTTAATTTTTGACAGGTGTGATAACCGTTGGAAATGATATCAGCACCCTATTTGTATCCATGGTGCTTAGTTATTACGCTGGAAAGGGCCACCGGCCTAGGTGGATAGCCGTCGGAGTCTACACAATAGTCCTGTTCTGCATAATGAACGCCCTTCCGCATTTTCTCTACGGGCCGGGCGAGGACGCCCTCGGCCTCACTGAGGAGTACGGACGCCTTGACAATAAGACTGACTTGGGTAAACGATTCTCTTCCCCCGCAGGCCCGATTCAAATCAAACTAATGTCGTTGTGTCGGATGTGATAGACAGGCATAACCGACAAACACTCTGCCAAAAAGAAGAATCTGCCGTCAAGTGCGACACAGGAGACGCAGGAAACATCGCTCCCCAGCTCATTCTCTTCATGGCGCAGCTCATCTCTGGGATCGGTGGTTCTCTCTACTTTACACTGGGCGTTTCTTACATGGACGACAACATCAAAAGATCGAAAACCCCTGCTCTAGTCAGTAAGTTCAAACAAATATGCAACATTATTTTATATAATTGTTCATCTTTTTCTTTTTTCTGTAAGGTTTTTCCTACTTCATTAGAATGTTGGGTCCAGCTTTCGGATATGCCCTTGCCTCCCTTTGTCTCAAATTTTATATTTCGCCCTCGCTAACTCCAAAAATCGACAATCAAGATCCCAGATGGCTCGGAGCTTGGTGGGTAGGTAAGTTATTATTTTTGTATTTTTTGTATTTTCAATTTTATGCATAACACTTGATTTACTCGATAGTTATACACTAAAAGTTATAGATGATGTTATTTTCTATGAACATCATATGGAACCAAAATATCATATTGGTCCGGATCCGTCTGTGCCATTAATGGTTTGAACAGAACTCTTGCTAATGATATTGATGAAGATTACTACGATGTGAGGGTTTGGTGGTGCCACAGCATTGAGGCTTATTGTACTTTTCTTAGTTCCTTAGTTTAGTTCAGCTGACTCGATTGTTATGTTAAGAAGGAGGAGGTGATGTCCTACATACAACCAAGTTATACTTATTTATATATTATTGTGTTTTTATATTTTATTACTGTGTCCGTTGTGTTACCTTATAAGAATTGATGTGAAACATTGAGTCAAAAGCTATTTCATGGTCAATGAATATATTCTATGTGTACAGATTCCAACGGCATGCATGATTCACTTTTTGTTGCACCACCACCATCATACTCCATTGGCAAAACAAATAGTAAACTACGATAATAAAATATTCTTATATTAAAACCCTTTCCATTGTATTTTTGGAAGTATTTTACAAACAGAAAAAATAATAAAAATTAAGTTCAGTTATTGAAGAGCTACAAACGGCGATTACTGACTGTTGCGATAAAATTTCGCGCAATTTTCAAATCACTACGAAAAATATAGGAAAAACTACATATTATTTTCTTTTGTGTTTTTTTTAGTAACATGGACATTTTTTAGACTAATGGTTATTTGGAGGTCGTTTGAGAAAAACATTTTCTTTATCGTGTCAACGCTTCGATCTTTATTGAGATCATCTTCAGACAAGAATGGCACATCCACACGGAAAACTAACACTTTGAATCCTGAAGATGATCTCAATAAAGATCGAAACATTGGCACGATAAAGAAAATGTTTTTCTAAAACCTACATCACACCAGACCGCACCTCATGACCTCAAAATAATCATCAAGTAACGGTCACGAAAAACCACACATTTTTTAACTAATTTTTTTTTTTTTTGGGGGGGGGTATTTCTTAAAAAGAAAACCAAGAACAATTCCATGTAGACATCTACCATCTTGGTCATGCGGCTTGACGATGTAAAATGATCATATATCTTCTAAAAGAAACTGTATAAAGAAACATTTAATAATTTTAAAAAATTCTGACGATGGGTGTAAATTCCCGAACGTCCAAATAAATCCATATATGCATTTAGTAGTCATAATTGACCGTATTAATTATATTCATTATTTATAATTTTAATCTAACATCTTAGTTGAGATGAAAAAGCAAGTGCCACGAGGGGGAGTCAAACCTACGACCTTCGGCTTATTATTGAGCGGAAGGTCGTGGGTTCGAATCCCCCGCTCCTGACACTCGCTTTTCACCTCAACAAAGACATTACATATTATAATTTAATATAGTACAATTAATCTAAATAAATGTTTAAATAAGTAATTAATTTACTTTTTTTAAAACCACATTTTTTAAACAAAAACCAAAAAATATTATTTTCATTTTTTTAAATCCAATAAAGGCTATATTTATTTACTTATGAAATTGTTTAGTTTTTTAATGTATCAGGGATCATACAAAAGTAAAAAGAATCTGGGCACGTTATGTATGAACAAATAAGACAAATTTCAAAAACACTTCTCCTTTTGATGGTTCATTTTTTTTTTTTTTTTTTATTGTTGTACTTTACAAGACATTAAGTTAAACAGTTTATAAGAAATGAAAAACGTTAATGGATAAATAAAGTGAAGAGAATTCGCATGTTTTAGGCTGGCTCCTTTTGGCCGCAATAATGTTCGTTTCGGCATCACTTCTCGGTCTGTTTCCCAAAACACTGCCCAGAGCTGCAATAAGGAAGGCACAGGAGCGAGCATTCAAAGGAAAAGACGCCGACGAAGCTCACGAGCTTCCAGCTTCTTTCCAAGGTCCTTTACTCTTCTCATCTAAGAACAAACTTCTAAATCATAAATATTTCAGATATGATCATCACGTTCAAAAGGCTTGTCACAAACCCAACCCTAATGTGTAACAATTTCGCCTCGATCTTCTACTTCATGGGCTATATGCCCTATTGGATATTCATGCCAAAATACATAGAAACAATGTACAAACAGTCAGCTTCAAGCGCGAGTCTCATCACTGGTATGTTCACAACGGAAAAGCTCTAGTATTTTATTAAAACGACAAGCTTTCCAGGAACGGTCGGGCTGGTTTTCTCAGCGTGTGGGATTTTGATAAGTGGGCTTGTCATAACGAAATTCAGGCCCAAGGCCCGTTCTCTGGCCCTTTGGAACGTCATCGTCGGCGCCATATCCGTCCTAGGTCTGATCTCCTACGCCTTCCTTGGTTGTTACACTGCAGACCCACAAGGAGTCACCCGAGGGGTCGGCGAGTACGTTTTTAAAATTCATATATCAAAATGTGAAAATCGTGATGTTTTTTAAATGATTTCAGTTCGACTTCTATTCAGCAATGTTCTGCTGATTGTTACTGTGATTACGTCAAGTACACCCCGGTCTGCGCCCACGGGGAATCGTTCATCTCCCCCTGTCACGCCGGATGCAGGAACGTCCAAATTTTAAACAACGGCTCTAAAGTAAGCGAAACCACTTTTCACCACATAGACAAATTTAGAATTTTTTTAAAATTTTATCGATGAATTTTTTTGTTAGAGTGACAAATAGTGCTTTTAATTTTTTAATTGTAGTTACAACTTATTGAGGAATTCATATGTATTTAGCAATCACAATCAATCATATTAACTATTTTAATCAATTATACTTTCAATCTAAGGTCTTGGTTGAGATGAAAAAGCAAGTGACACGAGCGGGTTTCGAACCCACGACCTTAGCCTTAATATTGAGCCAAAGGTGACACTTGCTTTTTCATCTCAACCAAGACCTTAGATTGAAACTATAATTGATTATTGAGGAATATTTACATTCCCTGATTACATTCTTCCTAAAGCTTTTTTACCTCCTGATGTTCATTCTACCATTACCAAATTTAAAATCAAATAACGCTCCAAAAATTCTCCAAAACCATCCGAAAAAGGCTAACATGTTCATAATAAATCTATTTAATTCTAACTTCGTACAACTTACTTCTCTACAGCTTGAAAACATTTGTGTTCCGAATGTTTGCTAAACAACCAACATAATTTGCTAAGGTTTTTTAGTTGAGATAAAAAATTCAGTGTCACGAGCGGGATTCGAACCCACGACCTTCGGCTAGATATGCCGCTGCTCTACCACTTGAGCTATCGTTAATTCGATCCACTCGGACACTAACTTTCCATCTCAACCCCATTTTTTGAATTTTCCCTCCTTTTTGCCATTTATCTCAATTAAAAATCCTTAATTAATTGAAAGATATTAATTGGTCCAGCGGACCACGAAAATTAGTGAATTTAACAATTTGCTACTTCATATATAAAAGATTCTATTGAAAAAATTCTTCCAATCCTAAATTCTGCTAATTTAATCCTTGAGTATCAATTTGATTTTCGCAACTGCCACTCAAGTTTTCAATAGTGTCATCGCGTGGTAGACATTATGTCTTCCTCCCTTAAAATGGTACAGTACTGTGGGTCCATTCTTGACGGTAGCCAATTGATTGATCTTGAGCATGAGGGGTCCTTCCTTCCTCTTATTATCTAAAACTGCGCAGTTATCACATTGGCCGATTTTTCCAAGTCATCGAAGACAATTTTCTCTTTGCATATTTCCTTATCCATGTTGGCGTTCCTCAGGGTAGCGCTCTGGCCCCCACACTATACCTGGTGTACACAACTGACGTTCCATTACATCCTCATACCACCTCATTCACATTGCAGACGGTGGAGCAATTCTATCATTTCACTTGTCATTTCCACTTGAAACCTCCAACAACTCCCACACTACTAGAGTCTTAGTGTGAAAAGAAAATAATAAAATTTAACACAGTCAAATTCACATATATTACCTTCGCTCTCGGTAAAACCATCTCCCCTCACATCTACTTAAGTAATATTCCTCTCCCAACTGCAGACAAGGTCATCTCGGACTGGTCATCTACCAATGCTTGACGAATCCTTCCACATGAGTGAAACGTCAGCAAGTTCTGCCACGATACAGAGCTCGTGCACGACATCTTGACAAACGTTCGGATTTATCTATCAAAAATAAAATGCTCCTTTACCACACCAAAGTCAAGCCGATATGAACTTACTGACTGGAAGTGTGGGATTCAGCCAAACATTCCATCTGCCGTTTTCAAACTTACCAATTCTGTCTTAATCCTACGAAAAATTTGTATGTTTTCTTCAAATAAAATCCGTTCCCGTTACGGAAAATTTCACGATACCCTCCCAACCTCCGAAAATCAGCATATCCAAAAACTCGTATCCCGACGAATTCCCTCTACCAATCCTCACCGAGTGAAGAGACGATGGCCGCGAAATCTACGAGAAAATGATGTCACATGTTTTAATTAAATACACATTTCAACATCATTGGAATATCGAACGGTTCAGTTTTATAAATTTGCCAAATTGTATTCTTCATCTTCTTAACAGTTTACATCACATTCACATACTAAAAAAAATATCATTATATGGAAAACAACCAAATATTGATACAAGTTGAAAACAATTCAGACTTCCCTATCTGACACTTCCATATTTATCACAGTTCAAACAAAATTGTAAACATTTATTCACTTTGATTTCAATTGTTCTAATATTTAACTTCACATTTATGTTATTCATTACTAAATATGCTAAATTTTAAATTTATAAGTTCACCTTGGCCACTGCAGTCTTACTCCCCACTGTACACCCAGCAACAAGAAACTGCCAACTTTCACTCAAGACAGTCCAGACATGGACAACGGACTGACATAGAATACTCACACAAGACTTAACAAACTGCTTAACAGAAAACGTAGATAACTACTAAGAACTTAAAGACCGAAATCTGATCCGTTAAAACTCAAGTAAGTATATAGAAGAAATTATTGCAACAACTTTAGACGTAAGTAGTGGAATTGTGTAGTTCAGCCAAGCCAATTCATCCTAACCCTACTGCCCAAGCCTTATATACACTTTTTCATTCTGAGAACACACTATCTTACCTTAAACGATGATGACCTCGAGACCTCTTCGCCCCTTCTTAATCCAATCGTATTGAGTACCAGCTTTGGTTGATTACCCTAAACCTGTCCTCTGGGTGGGTGTAGCGCTGAGGATAACGTACATATTTGTAATATGTGTTTTGATACGAACAGGTTACAATTTCTTTTACAATTAAAAATAAATTCAAATTAAATGTAAGATGTTATGTTTGGGGTGTGTCTGCACGTGCCGTGTTGAGTTATACTAATCTTCCTCAGATACCCATTCAGTCTGCAGTGTCTTGGTAAGAATCATGTCATGATTCAAGTTTTTTCCTGCTTCCTTTCAAGAATTCTGTTGTTTCTCTCCTTTCAAAATTTGCTAGAAGGTTCTTGGATTTTTTATGTCCAATGAGTGAATTCCACTGTTTCTTCATTTTCATTTTGTCTTTTTTTCTAAGATATTCATCGATAGTTAACGCCCTATGCCACAAAGGGGTCGGGATCTATCAGCGGTATAGCAGTCTTTGCTTGAAATTACCGAATTGAAGTTGCCGTATATTCTCACATGTCCTTCTTGGCTATTTGACAGCTCTCAATTGCACGGAGTCTGCCTGGAAGAGCTGGTGTATTTTCCCATGGGTTCTAAGTACTGGTTTCAGAATACTCCTGCTCCTCCCGTACCTTGTACCAGCAAATGGTGTCGTTATCAACGGAAGGGCTTTTCTCTCTTTCCCAAGCCTATTTGGTACTTAGATTTGTTTGGTAATTTTCCTTGAATCCAAACATCCTGTTCATGTCGTCTCTTCGAGCCGTGACTATCAACATAATTGGCTGAAAACAACAAAAAGATATAATATTTATTTTAATTGAACACATTCCTATCTGAATCACTCTTATCATTACAATTCAAACAAGATTGTTAACATTATAAAATGCGCATTGTTGGACTGTTTTCCTTAACTTATTTATTATCTGAAAAGGCCATCAAAGCCAAATCGGGAAGTACATACAAACAAAAAACGGGGAACAAGGCTAACCCAAAGTTTATCATCAAGAATAAATAAAATCGTAATTTTTCCTGAATGAATACGCTGTTTGTATATTTCTTGCCTCTAATAAGACCGTCTACCGAAATAGAAAAATTTATTTTCCAGTTCTACATGCACAATTTAAAATTTGTTTCTTTATTTTATTTTGTATCATTCGACAGTATTATTCCCTTCACTCATTAACCTACATGCTTATCTTATTAACAATACATTTAATTAAAGCATTTACAAAGAATATTGCGAATAAATAAAAAATACTTGAGATATCTGATAAATGTCCGAAGCATGACGTTTGCTATCTTCTATATAATGTTTACTAACAACCAAATTTTGCAATAAAAAATATTAATTTAGAATATGACACTAGCGAAATTTGAAAGTCAGAATATTTTACAAACCATTAAGCACAAAACATTTCTAAAATAAAAATTCACGAAACGCTTGGATATTACAAAGATATTTATTTTAGAAATGTTTCGTGTTTAATCTTTGTTTTTTAAAAATATTGTAACTTTCATGGTTCGCTGTTTTTCCATACTAAATTGCATTTCAACGCAATTTAAGTTATACTATTATACTAGTTAAACATTTAAAACACGGTATTTATTTCCCAAATCCAATCTTAGGTAGAGTATATAAAGGTGTCCTTTTTACATGGCCCCGCTATATGTATTTCTCTTGAACAGTTAACGTTATGGAAAAACCAAAAAATAGTTATTTAATATTTTTTAGTTTAGTTTTAAATCGCTTTTTAAAATATTTGTTGCTTTAGACTGCTACTTAAATTTTAAATGAGAACATATACTTTTTATCTACTGTTTTAAAGGAATTTTTAAACTGAAAACGCGGCTCAATCAGACTTTAAATTGGTCAGAGAATAACAAAGTTATGGCAGAATGTAAAAATACACGAATTAATTTCGTTCTTATCATTATGAATTTTCATTTACTATTTTGGTGCTAGTAGGTTTTATGAATTTCTTGGGATTTGTTGATCTCTGTGTTCTTTTGATTTTCTTACTTCAACGAATATTGTACAGTGTACCCGTCAAGCTGCAGTATGATTCCTTGGCGTTCCTGCAGTGGAACGTCTTCAATGAGGATTGGTAAATCCTCTCGAAGGAAATACAGAAACTGAGTCCATTGTATATTGGTTTGATAGAAATAAAGAACAATTAACAGATTTCCCAGGAGTCCACACCAAGCATTTATGCTATGAACAACTTGATGATGACATGGATACTTAACTCGTTGTTTTTCCTGTGCCAACATTTGACATTCCACCGATTGAAAATACTATTTGTCGAGAATAAGCTGGACCTCGATATGAACTTGATGAAAAAACAAATTTAATTGTTATTGCCAAGTTATCGACCTATTTTAAGAAATCATCAGGGCCTATATTAATTACACATTATGGATACATATTTATAGTTAATTCAAAAATTATTATAACAATTAATTATTCTTTTTATCTAAGGTTATTAGTTGAGATGAAAAATTATTGTTACGCGCGGGATTGCTCAAAAAGCCGCTGCTCTAACCACTTGAGTTTATCAATAATCGAAGTCATGTTAGCTCAAGTGGTCACCGAAGGTCGTGGGGTCGAATCGCGCTTGTGACGCTAATTTTTCATCTCAACTAAATACCTTAGATAAAAAGAATAATTAAAATGGTCAATTTTGACCACTAAACAAATATGGATTAATCACTGTAACTGCATATCAAGACCAAAAAACAATGACAGAGATTTTCAAAACATGTAGAGTACCTTTTCTAAAAAGTACAACAGGTTATGAACTAAAATTCGTGCGTACCCACTGCTAGCAGACCCATTACCAACATCCCACGTTCCCACTGCTAGCAGACCCATCACCATCATCCCACGTGCCTACTGCTAGCAGACCCATCACCATCATCCCATGTACCCACTGCTAGCAGACCCATCACCATCATCCCATGTACCCACTGTTAGCAGACCCATTACTACCGTCCCAAGTACCCTCTGCTAGCAGACCCATCACCATCTTCCCAAGAAATTCATAAAACCGAACCGACTATCACCAATACAGCAAATGAAAATTCATAATAATAAAAAGAAATTAAGATGTTTCTTTTGATCTTTGAAGATCTAGATGATGTGGAATGTAGTCAAATAGTCCTTTTTTGTTTTTGTCTTTCCACGATTTGGAAACAAAAAATATAGTAAATATAAAAGAATACAAAAAAATGTAAATATAAAAGACAAATAAAAAAGAGGCTATTTCTTTTCACTTTTTGTGCATTAACTTTCTTACTCTTTGTCCAATTTAAAATCTGATTACACCACGTTTTTATTGTAAAAAATCATTTACAACAGTGGGCAAAAGAGTATACGTTCTCATTTAAAATTTCAAAATTGTACGTACGTTGAAGTATTCTGACAACAAACGTTTTAAACAAAGTGTCTAGATTAGTGACCGTTAATCAATAGTTGTTCAGATATCGTGAGATGCAATCGGGTGTGATGTAGGTTTCAGAAAAACATTTTCTTTATCGTGCCAACGTTTCGATCTTTTATTGAGATCATCTTCAGGGCTCAAAGTGTTTGTCTTCTGTGTAATTGTGCCATTCTTGCGTGTCGTGTCGAGAGTGCCACGGATTATCTCGTTAAAGACAGAAGCAAGTAGTTAATCGCAAAGGAGTGTCTATTTATTATTTTATTTATGTGTTATTACTTTTTGGTTTTAAAGTTGTTGTGTTGTACCATAAAAATTGCTATTATTCTCAACATAATTCCCAATATGCTTGAAAGTTGAAGTGCCCAAGACCCAGGAATGATTTTTAGTTGTTCATAAATCAACATTTGTAGACATATTGTCTCAATAATATAAAATGATTCTTTTAACGGATATTCTTAAGTTGTTCACAGACTGCAGCTGTGTGAAGAACATGACGGACGCAGGTGATCCACTACCGCAGGTCGCATCCCCTGGGCCTTGTCCTGTCGACTGCGCTACCAAGTTCTACATGTTTCTCTCCGTGGTCTGCCTTCTGAAATTTTCCGGTGCCACCGGGAGAGCCTCTAATTTTCTAGTCTCAGTCAGGTTTGTAATCCAAGCGTAAAAAGAATTTTGATTGAAAGGTTTGATTGACAAAAGGTTGATTTTATAGTGGTTAAATAGAATTTAGGGTTTTAAAGTGGATTAAATTCAATTGGAAACTCTTATGTTTAATTCTAAAACACTGTTCACTAATTGCACCAAAGGCAGTTTTGAAACCAATGAAATTGATAATATTATCCACAATTCTAGACTAATTAGTCAGTTATTCGTTTTTACTTTAAACATAAATAATAATCAACAAGTTCAATAAGTTACATGTTTTCAAGTTTTTCATATATTAGAAAATTATTAAAACTAAAGTTGACTGATCCATAGGTCGCTGGTTCATATACGGCCCGGAGGACCATTAATTATCTAGGCGCCGTTAAATAGAGCGCGCGCTGGTGTAGTCGCGAAACCAATAATGAAAATAATTAAATTAATTTAAATAAAGCCCCAATACCTGAGGTGAACGGGTAGGTAGACCTCGCCATTCGATTTATCTTCAATGACATATGAGAAGAATGAAGAATTTGCTCATTCTCAGTTTTAATTTTGATGGCAGCACTTTATTGCTTTTTTTTCTAAAACGAATAGTTTTTCTAGAAAATCACCGAAAACTGAATTTAGGTTTCTTAAGTGGTTACACTAAACATTAATGGAATGATCATAGTAGGTTAAGTACAGATTTTTTGTTTTTTGTATAAATGTTTATTCTGCTCGTTCCACGTTATTGTACATTCATTTAATGAAACAAAATAAACCAAACACTGATTGAAAAGGCAAACTATTTTAAAATTAAGAAAAACTCATAAAATACCTGACATTTTATGTCTCATATAAAGGACAAGGGCAGTATTTCTGATATAGACCAAGCCTTTAAAAAAGAAAGATCTATCTAAAATGTACTGGACAAATAAGCGGACTAAATCATAGGCTTAGTCCAGTTATAAATAATGTTTTTTAAAGAAGCCTTTCCGTTTTTAAGATAATCAAAATCATAATTTATTTTATCATGGATTAGTAGATTTATCAACCATAGACATATTATGTAGTTCACATCGAACATATTCCATAATAACAAATATATAATACGTGGTGTTTAGTGACCGTTTGTCAGTGACTATTTGGAGATCGTGAGATGCGGTCTGGTGTGGTTTTAGAAAAACATTTTCTTTATCGTGCCAACGTTTCGATCTTTTTCAATTCACTAGTTTCGTGGTCCGCTTGACCAATTAATATATTACAATTAATTAAGGTTTTCAGTTGAGATAAAAAAGTCAATGGCACGAGCGGGATTCGAACCCACGATCTTCGGCTTGATACGCCGCTCCTCTACCACTTGAGCTATCGTGACCTCGATCCACTCGGACATCAACTTCCCATCTCAACCACACCTTTTGAATTTTTCCTCCTTTTTGCCATTTTTCAAATGCCGTGTAATTAATTTGTTTCTCGGCGACAAATGAAATGGCCACGGAGAGCTTTAGCGAAGTGATACTTCATTTTAAACTTATTCAATTCACTAGTTTCGTGGGTTTATAAATCCCAGGCCCTGAAGATGATCTCAATAAAGATCGAAACGTTGGCACGATAAAGAAAATGTTTTGCTAAACCCTACGTCATACCAGACCGCATCTCACGATCTCCAAATAACTAATATATAATCAAGAAAATTCGATCCAAGCGACAACTCACAGATCTGCTGACTAAACTTCGTTCCTTTTTTAGTCTCTAAAATATTTAAATAATCTTAAAACGTTATTGTTATAAACTAGTTAAAGACATAGACAAACACTGATTATTTTTGGCTTCACGTATCCACGTGACATTTTTAAATACACTTAGTTTTCACCTGTAAAAACGACGAAAATATTTTTGTTTTCATCACCGGAAAAGGAAAAACTGTCAGAGTTCCATTCATAAATTTCATCGTGTAAGTGCTGCTTGTCAACTATATTTTGTTGCGAATAGTCTCGGTATGCAAAGATCAAGGGGAACAAGATCCATTTTAAGGGAATTGCCTTCTGCAAAGGGAAGGCCGCGCGAGCTTTCGTTATTGCGCTAGAAAAGAGAACGAAGCTCCGACGATGGAATAATTCGTTTACTCTAAGATGGAACGACCGAATTAGGAAGGCCGAGGAGGACGTGTTAAGTGCTTTGACAATTCACCCAAAGACCGTATCATTCGGTTAAGACGAACTCAATTTTCAATAAAACGTTAACTGCAGTATAAACAATATTGGTAAATTTTACGAGTGGATTTATTTTTTATTGGTCTTAAAACAAAGAGAATTGCCCATTATTATTTGGCAGATCCATCGAAAAATTGCATTCTAAGTAAAATTAATAACTGTCATAGCCGAATGTTATCTTATCATATTATTAATCAATATAGCAATTATGTTTAATTAAAAAAATAGAGAATATTGATAGCAACAAGGTCATACTGGTTTCGTTGACTTATTGATTGATAAAGTAAAAGTATTGTAGAAAAATTTATACAAGTACTAGAAACACGATGTAGATACAATTAATTATTCTTTTTCTTTTTTAAATAAATAGCTATAATGGTGAGGATTAACCAAAAATTTAAAATTTCACACGATTGACTTGTCATTAAACGTAGATAAATACATAGATGGATAGAGCGAGAGAATCAGCGGCATAGAGGGGAGATCAGGAAAGAAGAATAAGAAAAGAAGGTTGTAAGGAAAAGAGGTCCCCCCCAATGGAGGGAGAAAGAAAGAGAGAGAGGAGAGGGAAGGAGAGAGAGTGTGTGTATGTGAATAAGAGAAATACAGACTGAGAGTGAGTAAGAGATAGATAGAAAGAAAGAAAAAGAGAGAAAGAGAAACAGAGAAACTTAGAGGTGAGAGCGGAAGTATAAATATACCGATAGGTAGGTAGGTAAGTTCATAAATTGAAAGATAGATGGATTGAAAAAAATTATAGAAAGATAGGTAAAAAGTGAAATATTCCTTCTCATACAAGAGTCTTAATGTCCAACTACTCGCGGACAAAGGAGTCACCTTAAAATACATTTTTCTATTATCAATAAAAAAGCCGTGGGATTCGAACACAGAATTGTGGCAAGGACGCCCTAACTATTCGGCCACCGTTGTCCTCAACAGATAGATAGGAGATAGAGAGATGGATGGATGGACAGACCGATAAGTAGAGATAGAGATAGTGATAGAGGGGGAAAGTGAGAGCGAGTGACAATTAATTACAATTAATGTATGAGTTTGCCTACAATTAATTCTGAAATATATTAAAATTTGAGACTTTCCATTTCTCAATACATGTACATAACACATATTACGTAATTATCAGACATACAAAAACCGAAAATGGTCTGGTTTCTTATACTTTTTCTCCAAGTGGTTTCATAATACAACATATTTCTAAGTCCGTTTATGTTAGCAGTCATAATTCACCGTATTAACTATTTCAATTAATTATACATTTTACGTATAGAAATGTGTTGTGATTAGTGACCGTTAATCGATAATTATTCAGAAATCGTGAGATGCGGTCTGGTGTGATGTAGGTTTCAGAAAATATTTTCTTCATCGTGCCACGTTTCGATCTTTATTGAGATCATCTTCAGGGCCTGGGATTTACATTTAACAAATGCATTTAGGATGTGGAAAAGTTAATTTATACAATGCAAAATATATTTTTTATATTCAATCAAAGTATTTCTACTCACTCAAAGTGTTTGTCTTCTGTGTAATTGTGCCATTCTTGGCGTGTCGTGTCGAGAGTGCCAGTGAGATTTTGCTATTTTGTATTTATATACGTTGGATTTTGAAGGGGCGGGGAAGGATGTCGGTATAGAAAATACATTTTTATATAAGGCGTCGGCTTCTTTGAGGTGAAAAGAGCCGACGAAGGGAAACAATGTGTTGGTAATGGTGCGGCCAGATTATCCTTTATTATATATTTATTGTATTTATCCCTTTCTACGATGCCTTATACAAAAATGTCTTTTCTACACCGACTTCCTTAGTCATAGCCAGTCTGGCACTCTCAACCCGACACGCAAGAATGGCAGAATTACACAGAAGACAAACACTTCGAGCCCTGAAGATGATCTCAATAAAGATCGAAACGTTGGCACGATAAAGAAAATGTTTTTCTGAAACCTACATCACACCAGACAGCATCTCACGATTTCTGAATGATTATACATTTTACCTTGTGTGATGAAAAAATTCGTGTCACGAGCGGGATTCGAACCCAGGTAGTTGGTGTCGGAGAGGATCGAAGTCACGATAGCTCAAGGGCAGAGCGGCGGCGTATTTAGGTCGTGGGTTTGAATCCCGCTCTAAACACAAACTTCTTCATCTCAACCAAGACCTTAGATAAAATGTATAATAAATTAAAAATTTGTAAGTATTTATTTATATTATTTATTTAGTTTACAAACAGGTATTACAAACTAATAGTTGATTTTTCAAGCGTTTCTTTCTGATAACCATCAATTAAAATAGTTTAATACTTTTACTACTCAGTTTTAATAGCATAAAGCAAAAGTATGAAACTTTATTTGTTGATGAAAACATAAATTGTAGGATTTTCAGTAAACAAACTTTTACTTGTGCATTAAGTTAACATTTATGTTTTTCTAGGTGTGTCGACGAGGAGGACAAGCCGGTCGCAATGGGATTTGGATTGATGGTCATGAGCCTGTTCGCTTTTATTCCGTCCCCGATATTTTTCGGCTACATAATAGGTGATTATCAATACGTCCTTGAGATTTACATTCACAATAAGGCCATAGTTCACTAAAGAGAAATTAACCCGTATCATAAAGAACATTGTCAAAAGTATTTAAATACCAATTTACAGGGCTATTGTCCTACCTTTTGAGACTTTGATAATATTTTTTAAACGGAGCATAAAACCGAGGGGAGAAAAGTAGGTTGCACCATGGTAAAGATCTCCTCGTCCCCCTGGCAATTCGCAACGATTCTTTCATAAATCGTGAGGCAACTATTATCCGCGTTGAGTAAAGACTTTTTTCATTTTTAACCCCCTCCACCAACACGATTAAGAAAAGTGTTGGTATTAAATTCTCAATTCCTTGATCAAAACATACTAATTAACCATGTTATTCAAATTTTCAGATACTACTTGTCTCGTCTGGGGCAAAACATGTTCTGGGACAGGAAATTGTTGGCTTTATAACGGTGAGACTTTGAGGTACATCCTCAACTTCACTTCGGCAAGTGAGTTTCATTAGTAAAAATTAAAATTGCGAAAGTTCAATGTTTCTATATCTTCATGTTCAGGTCTGGTGACTATTGGTACTTTATTCGACATGGGAGTATGGTTTTATGTCAAGGACCTTAAAATATTCGACGATGATGAAGAAGAGATGACGGTCGTCAAAGATAACGAAATTAAAATCTAAAGATTTAATGTAAACTTTTTTATATAAAAATTAATAATAAATTATATTTTTACTTTAGATTTTCACACTTTTTGTGTTCAGAATGAATTTTTACCTTACCATCTCTAACCATCACTAAATCCAGCAGATCGAACATCTAGTGCATTCTCAACACGACACACAAGAATGGCACAATTACGCAAAACACAAACACTTTGAGCCCTGAAGATGATCTCAATAAAGATTGAAACGTTGACATTATAAAGAAAATGTTTTTCTAAAACCTACGTCACACCAGACCGCACCTCATGATCTCCAAATAATCTAGTATATACGCGCTTTTGTGCTCTAGTTTCATTGACTTATGGCCCGACGTAAAATTGGATCTAAGTGGTTTTTTGACTTTCCTTCCGAGTCGGTGAGTTTATGCGCGTATTATTTTGTGCGGAATTTGGACGGAGCATCGCAGCGGAGCCAACAAGTTTAGTGTTCGCAATGAGATAAGCATCAATCCGTTATTATGGCAACCCTATGCTCACTAGGTGAACCAGAACTATGCTCTAGTGAATAGGTACGTTCTACTAAGTCTTCACAGTTTTATTCTTTAAACATTAAAAGCCCTCCACTATCTGGCAATTCTCTCAAAAATAAAAAGAAGAAGAAAGACAGACCAGGGGCAAAAATAATTGTTGAGTCTGTAGATGGCAAAAAACAAAGGGGCAAAGTTTTGGCTGTTTGTAATGACAGAGCTAAAAAATCCTGATTTGCAAAATATCTTCATTGTCTGCTGTGACGGTTTGAAAGACTTTGCTAACGCCATAGAAGCCATGTACTATCAAAAAAGAGAACAGCTTTGTATTGTCCATCAAGTGCGTCATTCGGTGCGCTCTATGTTGACAGGAAAGTACCCATTATATCAAAACATCCTTGTCTAATAACTGAACGTACAGATTGGAAAAATTTTCTAACAATAATAGGCGATAATGTTAACCTACACATATCTCTAAAAGCTGCAGAAGAAATTGACAAACCTGTAGACGATTTTACAAATAATACAGCATGCTACACAACTTCCTACTACCATAAACAATTGCTATTACCTCCACACATTCGGCTACTACTAACTGAAAAGCGAAGGGCCATGGCAATCTGACAGCGAAACAGATATCCGAGTGATCCCGGAAGGATGGACCAACCAATGAGAAAACTTAAAGAGAACTGGCCAAAAGCTGAAATATAAAACCAATATACTGCTTCGCTTTTTAAAACAGACAAATCCATGTGGTACTGTACTCGTAAGATCCTGCTTAATAAGAATCACACTCCCCCTAACCGTAGTGATAACGCTTGGGCCAAATCAATCCAATTCCGACATAGCTAAATTGTTTTCAGAACATCTTTGAACAATATTCACTGCACATCATGATGTACTTGACTATAACCACCGGCATAACATTGAACACGACTTTACTTTACAACTCTCTCCTTCTCCTAAAGCATTTACTCCATCCAGGATATGATCTAATTACAACTCAAATATTACAACTTTCCCCAAAGAGGCTTACTTTACTTAATAAACCTATATAGCGCTCTACTCAGAGCCACATATTTACTATTGCATCGGAAGTTCTCAATAATTAAAATAATTCATACGCCAAATAAACCTAACCTTCATAGTTTCTAGCGACCCGTTAGTTTCCTTTCTATCCTTCTAAGTTCTAAGCAAAACTTTAGAAAAACTACTTCTCCGGCGATTATTTTTTTGCGAGGGTTCGCAACAGCAGAGGTCATATAAACTCTCAAGATGCCGGTGTTTTTGAAAAAAAGAAACCATTTGTAAGTACATCGGGAATGAGGATCTTGAAATTCCGCACCTAGCCTATTCGGCTTTATCGGACGTTTTGATTCTCAAGATGAGAGCTGACGCACCTCCGCATACGACAGAATGCTGCGGCAGTAACACCATTCTGTCGTATGCGGAGGTGGGTCAGCTCTCATCTTGAAAATCAAAACGTCGATAAAGGCGAATAGGCTAGGTGCGGACGTTAAAGATCCTCATTGTCCTTTTTAGGACGACCGAGTATGCGATGGATTCGAACCCAAGACCTTTACCTTACAGTGATGAGCGCCGTGTCAACGCCCAAACCGTTGCGGCCACCGACGCCCCCTATTTCCTATAATTGAAAATTCTAATAGTATTTCAGATCAACAGTTTGGATTGCGCTCGTTTCACTCGGCAACTCAACAATTGGAACGTGTTGTTGACAATATCGCCTCTTCCCTCGAACAAAACCAGCATTTGCTGGGTGCCTTTGTGCCTTTAGAACAGCCTTCGATAAAGTCTGGCACTCAGGCTTGCTTTGGAAACTGAAGAACATCCTCCTCCATACTATCTCATACTGAGATCTTATCAAACGGATAGATATTGCGGAGCACATCAGTGAGCTTAATTCTCACCTTATATGCGTCTTAGGGCGGTTGTTCTCAGGGAAGCACACTTGGCCCATTTCTATTTTCAATAAATACTGAAGATATTCCTACATTTGACATTTCAACACATACTTTCGCTGATGATAGAGCGATTCTTACACGTAATTCGGAACCCTCAATTAACACTCAACACTTACAATAAAACCTGAATGCATTAGCAGTATGTTTCACAAAGTGGAGAATGAAGATAAACCTGACGAAAAGCGTACCGATAACTTTTACATTACGTAAAAATATCCGTCCCGTAGTGTGTATAAATGTAACACCATTTCCTACCACTGACCTAGTGCGTTATCTTGGACTTTTCATGAATAAACGACTGACTTGCAATCCCCACACAAGGTTGAAAAAACAGCAAACAAACCGACGTTATAAATTATTAAAAAGACTACTTGACTCGCGATTAAACATTAAAAAAGAAAACTTTTAATTTACAAGACAATATTATGACGGTTGTGAAGTGTGGGGATCAACCAAAGATTCCAATTCCCAACGCCTCCAATCAATTCAATCTAAAATTATTCGGAACTCGTGAAATTTAACATTTTTTTGCATTGAATAAATTTACTTTTTTCCACATCCTATATGTATTTGTTAAATTTAAACAATGTTTGCAAATCCCAGGCCCTGAAGATGATCTCAATAAAGGTCGAAACGTTGGCACGATAAAGAAAATGTTTTTCTGAAACCTACGTCACACCAGACCGCATCTCACGATTTCCGAATAATCATCGACTAACAGTCACTAATCACCACATCAACTAAAATTATCCGTCAAATTATAAATGCTCCTTTTTATGTTTCAAATTACACTTTTCATAACGACACATCCAGTTTGCACATGAACTCAACAATATCCGCTAAAAAAAATTTAATCAATCACAGTACAAACACAATAATCTATTAGTACGAGTTATCACTTCCAGCCTTACCGAAAATCCTCCAGTACGATTGAAACGAAAGTGGCCCCGAGACCTGATTGAGTGAAAACTGAAGAGGTTTCAGTGTGAAGGTGGCAACTTCTCCTACAAAAGACTCCAATGAAAAATTCAGCATTTATGAACAGATTTACTCAATACAATATTTGTAGAAATATGAAATAAATGTAATTAAAAAAATCTACATTATAATAAGTATTAAGCAAATTCTTTCGTTCGTTTTAATATATACAATTACAAAAGAAAATACATACTGTGGTATACAAGTGAATTATTCTAGATGATTAACTTTGCGATCCGCCTGATTTCGCTATTTTTACTTGCTTGGAACATTGGGTCTTAAGAAATCCTCAGGGTCACAAAACCAGTTCTGCATATTCAAAAAAAGAATAAAAGCGAATGTTTTTGTGTCATGGCATTTTCAGTTATTTATTTGAAAAATTATAAACTTTAAATATTCCACAGAATGCTTTCATCAGAATAATTTTGTGCCTTAAGCTTTTATTGCCAAAAGTTATTAATTGGAAAACGTGATAACAATTATTTTCATCAACCTAAATTACCAATCAGCGCATAAAAAGTCTTCGATAAATTGGTATCAATAGTTGATTACGATGACAATCTTGATGTATTGGGTTGTCCGGAAAATAATGCAGGATTTTGGTATTAAACAAAAAAAAAGAAACTAGTTACTTTAAAGCAATGTTCTTTAATCAAAATANAATGAGTAATCCTGTAAACGTAAACAGAATATTTTATATAGATTTTTTTTAATGAAAACTTAAAATCCTGCATTATTTTCCGGACAACCCAATAATTTTGGGGTATAGAACACGCGTATTAACACTGGTCCGACTATCCTCGCTCTTTCTCTCTCAGTCGTTTATGGAAGCAGGCTGATTATGATGAAAATACCATTGTCTACTAGTTTCTTTAGTAGTTTAGCCTGTCACGGTACCAACCCGGACATAAACATAACAGAGGCAGAAAGGAAAGAGCAAGCGGGAGTTCTCAACCGACTACCCCAAAACCACATGGTTGATTTCGAGTCCTAAGTCCGTTGGTAATGAACAAAGTTTGTCCTTTGGGCAAAGTCTTTTCGGGTAAAGCATTATATGTTATTTCCAATGAAGGAGTGAGAAGGTTTAATTTGTTTTTATCAGTTTCGAAATTTACAGGGTTCAGTGTACCTCGAGGTCCGTGGTGACAAGCCTTTATTCAAATTCGGTTTTCCATAGAAATTTCTTTGTCTACAATGATTGCTGGAACCACAGTTGCGATTAATTTCCCAACTAGTTTCTCCAATAGTTTAACCATGGTCCGTCTATACTCGCTTTTTCAGTATCAGTCATTTTTTTGTGTTCACTTCAAAAGTTGTAAAATTCATGAGTTCTCAAAATCTTTTATTTACGCAGTTACGAAGAATATTAGTACAAAATTATAAGGGTTGGCACGTCCATCCTCGCCGCTTCTGGAGGACTTCTGAATTCGATGTTTTAAACTGTCCTCATTTATAGTAGTAAAAACAACGTTGCGTTTGAGTCGTTTATCCTTACGTTTCTGTTAAGGTGGCCATTCACGATCACTCCAAATGGAACCGCGCCAAGACGTACAGCTCCATTTGGAGTGCCTAAAATTTGAGGGGGCATT